CTTTCCCTTTGGCAACCATATGTTTGTTTTTTATGTCTGTGAGTCTGTTTCTGTTTTGTAAATAAGTTCATCTGTACTTTTTTTTAAATTCCACATATGTGATATGGTATAATATTTGTCTTTGTCTGACTTACTTCACTTAGTATGTTAATCTCTAGGTCCATACATGTTGCTGCTTTGAAATGGCATTATTTCATTCTTTTTTATGGCTTGAGTAATATTCCCTTGTATATATATTTACCACATTTTCTTTATCCATTCATCTGTTGATGGACATTTAGGTTGCTTCCATGTCTTGGCTTTTGTATATAGTGCTGCTATGAACATTGTGGTGCCTGTATCTTTTCTAATTAGAGTTTTCTCTGGATGTATGCCCAGGAGTGGGATTGCTGGATCACATGGTACCTCTATTTTTAGTTTTTTAAGGAGCCTCCATACTGTTTTCCATACTGACCGCACCAATTTACATTCCCACCAACAGTGTAGGAGGGTTCCCTTTTCTCCATACCCTCTCCAGCATTTATTATTTGTAGACTTTTTTTACAATGGCCATTCTGGTGTGAGGTGATACCTCATTGTAGTTTTGATTTGCATTTCTCTAATAATTAGGGATGTTGAGCATCTTTTCATGTGCCTGTTGGCCATCTGTATGTCTTCTTTGGAGAAATGTCTATTTAGGTCTTCTGCCCAGTTTTTAATCAGATTGTTTGTTTTTTTGTTGTTGAGCTGTATGAGCTGTTTGTGTATTTTGGAAATTAAGCCTTGTTGATTGCATCATTTGCAAATATTTTCTCCCAATCTGTAGGTTGTCTTTTTGTTTTGTTTATGGTTTCCCTTGCTGTGCAAAAGTTTGTAAGTTTGATTAGGTCCCATTTGTTTACTTTTGCTTTTATTTCTATTGCCTTGGGAGACTGATCTAAGAAAATACTCCTACAATTTATGTCAGAGAATGTTTCGCCAATGTTCTCTTCTAGGAGTTTTATGGTGTCATGTCTTATATTTAAGTCTTTAAGCCATTTTGAGTTTATTTTTGTGTATGGTGTGAGGGAGTGTTCTAAATTCATTGATTTACATTCCATATGAATTTTTTAATTGTTTTTAGTAAAATTTTAAATTCTTTTACATTGGCATTTTGATAAGGATTGCATTGAATCTCTGTAGATCATTTTGGGTAATGTAGATATTCTGACAATATTAAGTTTTCCAATCCATGAGCATGAGATATCTTTCCATTTGTATGCGTCTTCTTTAATTTCTTTTATCAATGTTTTATAGTTTTTCAGCATACAAATCTTTTACTCCCTTAGTTAAGCTTATCCCTAAGTAGTTTTCTCTTTTCAATGCTATTATAAATCGGATTGTTTTCCTAATATCCTTTTCAGATAGTTTGTTGTTAGTGTATAGAAATGCAAGTGACTTTTGTTTGTTAATTTTGTATCCCTCAGCTCGCCTGAATTCCTTTGTTAGTTCTAACATTTTTTTGTGGAGTCTAGAGTTTTCGATATATATAAGATTATGCCATTTGAAAACAGGGACAGTTTTACTTTTTTCTTTCCAATCTAGATGCCTTTTCTTTCTAATTGCTCTGGCTAGGACTGCCAGTACTATGTTGAATGGAAGTTGTGAGAGTGGGCATCCTTGCCTTGCTCCTGATCTTAGAGGAATGCTTTCAATTTTTACCTTTGATTATGTTAGCTATGGGCTTTTCATATATAGCCTTTTTTTATGTTGAGATAATTTCTCTCAGTTCCTAGTTTGTTGAAAGTTTTTATTACAAAAGTGTGTTGAATTTTATCAAAAGCTTTTTCTGCATCTATTGAGATGAGCATGTGATTTTTTAATCTTTCATTCTGTAATGTGGTATATCATATTAACTAATTTTTGTATGTTGAACCATCCTTGCATCCCAGAGATGAATCTCACTTGATCATGGTGCATAATGGTAATATTTTTGAGAGAATCCTAAGCATTACATTGTCATGTACATGATAATTTGCTGTCGAACTTTAGATTTTTTTATATTGCCAAATATCTGTAACCTCAAATTTGAAAGAATTCATTAAAATATAAAATATTTAAAAGAAAAAAGTCTTACAACTTATTTTAGCTATGTTCTTAAAGGCCTCTTGCTTTAAAATCCCAAGAATATGTATTTACATGTTATAAGTAAACTTTTCATTTAAATCTATATTAGTATTTAATTTGTATGCTGGAAAACAATTTGTTTTTCTGTATTTTGTGTCCTGAATGTGGTGCAGCATCTTACTTTCATCAGCACTGTTGAAAAAAGAAGAAAAAATACCAGTGCTGCCTCCTGAAATCAAATTTGAAACTTCTAATGTCACCAGAAATTCCCTTGACAGTTGTTTTCTTTTTGAGAGGAGTTGGAGGAAAGCAGTTTTAGAAACACAAAAGATGAGGAAAGGTAACTTCATTTTATTCTTATTTTACTTACAAAAATATAGAAAAAGTACCTTGAATTTACATGTACTTTTTTAATCAGTCAAGAGACATTAAATAATTTTTGTAACATTTAGGTAAGAAGGATAATACCGTAGGCTTATGGAAAAGAAAAATGGAAGCAGATTAGGAATAATTTACTTAAGGTAATTCTATAACTCATGATAAAAAACAAATTCTAAAGAACTACTCTTGATATCAGTGTAGTGCTACCTCTGTTGGATCATACTTCTTGTAAGTCACGTTTGTTTTAAAATACCTCAAGTTGGTATTTATATTTTAAGAAACCCAAATCTTTAACAGCACCTTTTTGTATTAATAATTCTAACCCAAACTTTATTTTTTGAGTGAGCTATGTGGAAAGTATCTTATATCTTATAGTTGCTCAATAAAGACTAATTTCAGAACTTTTGACTTGTATACGAGTCTAATAACTTTCCCCCTTAATTTCAAATTATAATTGTATTTCTTGTTTATACTGAATTTTGCCTTTGGCTTTATTAATGGAGATAGAATTCTTGAAAACAGCAAAATTCAAACTCCCCAGCCATTTCATCACTCCTGGTTTTGAGTGTGTTACTGTATTTTTTCGACATTTTTACTAGATTCCTATTAAAGATACACCAGTTTATCTGTTCTCCTACCTCCAAATCTAATTACTGAAAAGAAACTCTACGTGATTTTGATCAAGAGAAACTATTTTTCCCAAAAAAGAATAATCAAAGGTTGAAAAATAGCATTTTGAGCATTTAATATTACTCTAGTCCCATTAAATCCTATTTCTATTGCTATGCTAGATTTACATAGTAGAGAAAGCTTAGAAAACAATTCTCTATGTTTAAAAATCATCTAAACTTTTAATCTCTTAATCTGCTTTTTCCATTTACTGTCTTCATTTTGAAGTTTTTTTTTAAAAAAGAAAAATTTGAACAACGTCTTATACCAGTGATACCTGAGGTCAGTAGAAGCAGCCCTCCTGATGCTTCAGATGTTGCTGTTTATAGATTTGATGAGGGATTTTGCAGAGTGAAAGTTAAAATCAATGCCTGAAATGGAATTCTTTTCTCTCTCACTGCTAGCTCCGATAATCATGTATTTGTACCTCTTGATTTCTACACAAAAGCAGGAAGGTGAAAGGATTTAAAGTAGCAGATATTACAAGATTCTTGAAAGTGCTTTTAATCTGTCTTTCAATGTGAATGTATCTAATGTTCTGGGAATTCTGATTAAATAAAATAATGAAGGACAGTGATGACTATGGGAGATCTGTGAAGCTGCCCTGCTTCCTTCTTTTAATAGTTCTTAGCGCCTTAATCAGCTCTTGCCTACAGTCCCTATCCTCAGAATTGAAAGGTATTCTCTTGGGAAAGATGCTCGCTCAACTACAGTAGCTTAATTTTATTTTCTTAATGACTGATTTGGTATATTTATTATACATTTTAGTATACAGTAAAAAAAATTATATACATTTAATTAAGAAGTAATACAGATGGTTATTATACTATTTTTAATTAGAATGCACCACAGCATTTGGTCTAGAAGAATTCAAAGAATGTGTCAAAATGCCATATTTACCAGGAGTGCAAAATTGCCAAAAAAGTATAAGTTCCACTCCACTAGAGGTTCATAAAAGACTCCTGCATGCTGATACCGAGATGCCTCCTGTCAGGTAGGTCATTTCTTTTCGATTCTCTTTTGTTGAATATTTATTTATAGTAACACTGCTGAATGTAGAGGTTTTTCTGGCTAGTGAATCTAATTCTTTCTTGCCTATTTTTTGCATAAAGGATTTAATTTTTAAAAATCTCAATTAGCGATTTTATTCAGTTTGACCAGTAGGTACTTTTTTCTGTTTTCAAGTGACATTGCCAGAAGGAATTTAAGAACTTACTTAAAAAAATCTTTATTGCTTTAGCATAGATTGCTCTTGAGAATATTGGAATTTTTAGCAATATAAATAAATGAACTCTTTGCAATATTAACAGGTTTCTGTACCCTGAATAGAGAACCTTGTGTTTCATTTCTAGTTTGACTGAAGTGGTGTGAGGGGAGATCCTGAATGAGATGTCAGCCTAATGAAGACCTTGCATTGCTATCAGATGAAATGAGTTTGTCAGCCAGAAAAGTCCCACTGACTTTGAATACTGGCATTTAAACACATTATGATAAACACCTTTCCTACTATAAATCAGATTGCGTGACATAGCATTAAAAGAAAACTTCTTTCTCCAAAGGGACCTGTAAGTTAGTAAGACAGTCTCATATCCTATTTGGTTTCTGCTTTGATTTATTTACTTATTCATCAAGTATTTATTGAATGCCTAGTACTAATTCATTTTGCCAGCCTAAAAAAATGATGAAGCATTTATAGCAGTCTGAGTTGTAGCTCTCTTTAAGGGGATGATGTATATTTTCATAGTATCTCCTGCCATAGTGTGCTTTGAAGTCATCTAGTTATACATAGCACACACATATTGGAATTTCAGAATATATTTCTTGAGTTTTCCACTAGTATTATTGGTCTTGTTAATTACTCTGGCAACAAATTTTGGTAATATAAATAAAGAATTAGAATATACTGAAAATGAAAAGTTGTGGATAGTTTATATCTAAATTATGAAAATAAATAAGAACTTTGTAGAAAATTTGGGGAAAAAGTAAAAATAATTATTTGATAATTTATCCATTCTAACATATCCATTTTTATTGTTGGAGGTTCTCTTCTACCCTCCTTCATTTTGGATTTTTATTGGAGTTGTGATTTTAGTGTACTTACAATTTTTTATTCTGCCCTTTTTTACTTAATATTACATATATGCATTTTTTTCATGTTACGACATAATCTTCAAACAGTCTTTACTGGCCACATTATATTTCATTGTTAGAGCCATAGCTTATTTAATTTTATTTAATTTTCCTATTGTCGGACTTTCAAGTTGCTTTGACATTTTTTTGGTTTTGCAAATAACACCATAATGAACAATAACATACATAAAGCTTTTCCCATCTTTTTTTTTTTTTTTTTTTTTGCGGTACGCGGGCCTCTCACTGTTGTGGCCTCTCCCGTTGCGGAGCACAGGCTCTGGACGCGCAGGCCCAGCGGCCATGGCCCACAGGCCCAGCGGCTCCGCAGCACGCGGGATCCTCCCGGACCGGGACACGAACCTGTGTCCCCTGCATCGGCAGGCGGACTCAACCACTGCGCCACCAGGGAAGCCCCCATCATTTTTTTTTTTTTTTTTGGTGGTACGCGGGCCTCTCACTGTTGTGGCCTCTCCCATTGCAACGCACAGGCTCCGGACGTGCAGGCTCAGCGGCCATGGCTCACGGGACCAGCCGCTCCACGGCATGTAGGATCTTCCCAGACCGGGGCACAAACCCGTGTCCCCTGCATCGACAGGCAGACTCTCAACCACTGCGCCACCAGGGAAGCCCCCCCCCCATCATTTTTAATATCATTCGAGGACAGATTGTCAAGCTATAAAAATATAAAAAGCAAAATTACTCTTTCTGAAGTGAGGTTATGGTCAAATAAGGCAGAATCAGAGATGGTAGAGGAGAAATTGTGAGTTGCTAGTGGAGTAGATGGTAGCAGTTAAAGAGGAGGGATGGCAGGGATGTAGAAAGAAGAGACACCGTTGGAAACATGAATGTGAAACCTACTTGAGGGCAGTGAGTTTCCACTGTTACCGAGACACCTGTATCCCTGACACTCAGCTCACTCTTGACCTCCAGGCAAACGTATGTAGGGCTGCCTATGGCCATGGACTTGTCTCAGTACAGACCAGTCTTTCAATGCATATGATCATCTTAAAGAAACTGGAAACCCAGAAAGCACCAACAATTAACCCATTGGGCCTCTAGATTTTAAGTCTTCAATTTGCTTCCTTTTTCATCCGATTTCAGTTCATTATTTTTTTCATTTGCAATTTGGCTGTTTGTGAAATGATCCCTTAATATTTTATGTTGACTTGAGTGTGAATTTACTTAATGAAGAATAATTTGACTATATTATATTCGTGTTACAAGTGTTCTTCAGACACAAAGTGGAGGAGTGGTGGCTGAGTGTCACACTGCTTATGAACTGCTTGGCGAACGTAAATGTTGGTTCTTTTCCCTGTGTCTCTATTTTAGCCTTTCTACTGAGAACATGTCGGGTTGCCTACAAGTGTTTTATTCTCCTTTGCATATTGAACAACGCCTTGTGAAATAACAGTCTTGGCAAAGCAGGGAAGTACTCATTTTTGTCTGTCTTGTATATAACCCCGTATCCTTTTTTTAAAAAATCTCCATATGTGGATATTTGATTTAAAAACTCTGATAAAAGTTTAATGTGTTTTTAAATTTCTTAAATGATAAAATTTTTCAGTGAATCTCAAGGCATACTTTGGTAATATAATTGAAAATAGTCTTAGAGGTGAAGTGCATTTAAAAATTACAGCTGACTATCCTGCGGTATGACAAACTGCCTCTAGCTGGCAGGCTAGCAGACCTGAAACGATTTGTGAGTTTAATTCCCTTAAATTAATATTATGAAACTGAAGCAATATGACCTCTCAACTCACCAGTGTTATCTCTAAAAGTTCCATGCAGCCAATGCACAAAGATATTTGCTCTGATATTGGACACTGTTTTAAAAAAATGGATGTTCTATGTTTTTTGAAGGACATAAAGCCCTTCACGCTAAGGAGATGAATCATAGAATTTCAGTTATCAGTCAGTAGGTGGAAGAGAATCTGAGGAGTGTCCCTAGGGACCACTAAAACCTTATCACATAACAATCATTAAGGCTGGTCTTGAGTTCCAAACCTCAGTGTGAATACTAGGTCGGCTCATCTTGACTGTACCCATATTTGACAACTAGGAAGTGTGATGTTGCCATGGTAATAAGTTGCTAGGATACCTCCAAGCAGCTGTGTAAGCTGACTTCATTAAACTGTATCACATGGATTAAGAACTAATATATGTTTTGATTGAATAGAGAACAAAAAAAAAAGTTATAGCTGACTTCTAAAGTTTAATGACGTTACAAGAAATTTGGAATTCTTATGGGTTATCTCGCCCACAGCAGATTCAATCGTGACATATTTCCTCTAATAACCTACTCATTATCTAGATCTATTCCAATAGGAACAAAAGTTAATTATGACAAAACTCAGATTGTGGTAATTAATAGGTAAAAAGAGCACAAATAACTGATAATTGGTATCTGGCATATCTAGATACCCTGTTCATCTAACCTTGAGTCCCTTCCTCTAGCATTTCCTGAATCATGATTAGTGATAAGATAAAGGTGGGAAAAGTCAGACCTAACACTCATCCACTGGTAAAATTTATTAACAAAAATTGAGATACTGAGTTGGTTCATATCTGCTTCTGATTGGATTATTTGTGATAGAAGGAGTTTCCTTGATAGAAGGAGTTTCCTTTCTTTAACATTTATTTAATTTTCACCTGATGTCCTTCAACAAGTGAATTTCACTGAAAGCAAGCTTCTTATCTCCTACTGTATTTTAAAAAATTAATGTACCCTGGATTTATGTAAGAGTGAATTTATGATAATATATAATTTTAGGTTAAAGAAGACTAAGCCAACATGTACTGTGGCACCACTTCAGGAGAAATCAAAAGCTAGGCTGGATCATCTTTTTCTCCTACCACATGTCTTATTAACTATTCCATACTTATCTTTTTTTAAACTTCCTTTCTTTCCATTGACTTAATTGTCTTTGTTTTGTTAATGTTTCTTTTAAGCTTTGTTTGTAAACTTAGTGGATGTTGTGTTCAATATATACATACCATTATTATATTGTGTTGGAGGATGGAGGGAACAAAAAGTGCCTACCAAACTGAGAAGGCATCTTGAGACCAGAAACCGAGGCAGGCAGCTCCATATAATCAATGAATCAGCTTATTATATGGTAACTTACAGGATGGGATTGAGCGGACAACCATCTGGAAACGTGTAGTCACACTCCACACTGCCGAGGGGCCATTGGGGCAACTTTATAGTTAAGCTAGGGCATGGGGAGTATGTGCTTGAAAACAGGAAGTGTATTCCTAAGTCAAGATTTATGAATGGGTAACTGTTCTCATGGATGCCAGGAATATGTCAGGGAAGGTCTTCATCATTGTTTGGAGGCTAACAGAGCATAGAGGTCATATGGTCCTAATGATTATTAAGCAATATCTACTAACTACAAAGCCCTTAACAACAGAGAAGTGATTGACTGCACAGTACAGTCCCGGGTAAGGTCAGTGGGAGGACAGGAGAAACTGTGTGGACCCAAGATGGCATCAGTTATGCTAACAGGCATACCTCTCAGGACCCTGGGATAGGCCCTCATCATCTCTCATGTGGACCATTGCATAACCTGCAGAATGGTCTTGCTTTAGAGTTTCTGACCTTGGAAGTCCTTTAACACTACAACAAAAGCCTAAAACTTGGCCTCTAATCACATCACTCCCTTCTTCAAAAACAACTTGTTGGGCTTCCCTGGTGGCGCAGTGGTTGAGAGTCCGCCTGCCGATGCAGGGGATACAGGTTCGTGCCCCGGGCCAGGAAGATCCCACATGCCACAGAGTGGCTGGACCCGTGAGCCATGGCCGCTGAGCCTGCACGTCCAGAGCCTGTGCTCCGCAACGGGAGAGGCCACAACAGTGAGAGGCCCGCATACCGCAAAAAAACAAAACAAAAAACAAAAAAAGCACAACTTGTTACCTACAGACTAAAGTATGAACTCCTTAGCTTGGCCTTGAACTCTTTACCATCTTCCCCTAACTTTCCTTTCTAGCCTTATCTTCTAATTAATTTTTTCATGAACCTGTGTACCTGTAACATCCAACTACAAAAACCTATCTATATGCCAACAGTTTGGGTTCCATAAAGCTACTCCATGGTGACTAAGAGACTTTACAGCACCAAGGAGCATTTCCACCTGTTTGGAGTATGAGTTTGTCCTTTGAAGCTTTAAAATCAGACATTCTCACTTCCACCTTTCTGATACATTTCATCAGAATTTTGTTTTTCAAAAACAGACTCTGTTGAGTCAGTTAGTTACACTTTTAATGATGCCTACAAGATTTTGGAGAATTTCCTGGCAGCTCTGGTATCTACACTTACTGCCTCATTCCTTGCTTCACGTGTTACAGATTCATGGGGCAACATACTAAAGGAACCATTTATGGCATATGACATAGTGCATATGTCTAGCATTTATGTTCTCCAATAAATTCTTAGCTATTTCCTGAAGTAATTTTACCCAAAGTCAATGGTGAAGATTCTTGGGCTGTACAGTCAAACATTTTTCATTATATTTTCTTGCCTTCTGTTGATTATTATCTAAATAGGATTTTTCAACAGTGACAGTATTAACATTTTGGGCTGGATAATTCTGCTGTGGGGGTCTGTCCTGTGCATTGTAGGATGTTTAACAGCATCCATGACCTTTACTCACTAGATGCCACTAGCACCTCCCAAGGTGTGGTAACCAAAAATGTCTCCAGAAGATGTTGCCCAATGTCTTTGGGGTGGAAAAATCACCCTCAATTGAGAACCACTGTTTTAAGCATTACATCTTTAACATTATATGTTATCTGTTACCTGTCCTTCAGACTATCAAGTGTTTCATCCTTTACCTGTGCACAACAGTTATTTCCTTACCAGCATAACATGTTTTAAACCTTACTTATTTTTTTTTTTTTTCATATCTTTTTTTTTATTTTATTTTTTATTTTTTTTAACATCTTTATTGGGGTATAATTGCTTTACAATGGTGTGTTAGTTTCTGCTTTATAACAGAGTGAGTCAGTTATACATATATATATGTTCCCATATCTCTTCCCTCTTTGTCTCCCTCCCTCCCACCCTCCCTATCCCACCCCTCCAGACAGCCACAAAGAACCAAGCCGGTTTCCCTGTGCCATGCGGCTGCTTCCCACTGGCTATCTACCTTACGTTTGTTAGTATATATATGTCCATGTCTCTCTCTCGCCCTAACACACCTCACCCTTCCCCCTCCCCATATCCTCAAGTCTGTTCTCCAGTAGGTCTCTGTCTTTATTCCTGTTTTACCCCTAGGTTCTTCATAACATTTTTTTTTCTTAAATTCCATATATATGTGTTAGCATACGGTATTTGTCCTTCTCTTTCTGACTTACTTCACTCCGTATGACAGACTCTAGATCTATCCACCTCATTACAAATAGCTCAATTTCGTTTCTTTTTATGGCTGAGTAATATTCCATTGTATATATGTGCCACATCTTCTTTATCCATTCATCCGACGACGGGCACTTAGGTTGTTTCCATCTCCGGGCTATTGTAAATAGAGCTGCAATGAACATTTTGGTACATGACTCTTTCTGAATTCTGGTTTCCTCAGGGTATATACCTAGTAGTGGGATTGCTGGGTCATATGGTAGTTCTATTTGTAGTTTTTTAAGGAACCTCCATACTGTTCTCCATAGTGGCTGAACCAATTCACATTCCCACCAGCAGTGCAAGAGTGTTCCCTTTTCTCCACACCCTCTCCAGCATTTATTGTTTCTAGATTTTTTGATGATGGCCATTCTGACTGGTGTGAGATGATATCTCATTGTAGTTTTGATTTGCATTTCTCTAATGATTAATGATGTTGAGCATTCTTTCATGTGTTTGTTGGCAGTCTGTATATCTTCTTTGGAGAAATGTCTATTTAGGTCTTCTGCCCATTTTTGGATTGGGTTGTTTATTTTTTTGTTATTGAGCTGCATGAGCTGCCTGTAAATTTTAGAGATTAATCCTTTGTCAGTTGATTCATTTGCAAATATTTTCTCCCATTCTGAGGGCTGTCTTTTGGTCTTGTTTATGGTTTCCTTTGCTGTGCAAAAGCTTTGAAGTTTCATTAGGTCCCATTTGTTTATTTTTGTTTTTATCTCCATTACTCTAGGAGATGGGTCAAGAAGGATCTTGCTGTGATTTATGTCATAGAGTGTTCTGCCTATGTTTTCCTCTAAGAGTTTGATAGTTTCTGGCCTTACATTTAGGTCTTTAATCCATTTTGAGCTTATTTTTGTGTATGGTGTTAGGGAGTGATCTAATCTCATACTTTTACATGTACCTATCCAATTTTCCCAGCACCACTTATTGAAGAGGCTGTCCTTTCTCCACTGTATATTCCTGCCACCTTTATCAAAGATAAGGTGACCATATGTGCACTTTTTTTTTTTTTTTTTTTTTTGCGGTAAGCGAGCCTCTTACTTTTGTGGCCTCTCCCATTGCAGAGCACAGGCTCTGGACGCGCAGGCTCAGCAGCCATGGCTTACGGGCTCAGCCGCTCCGCGGCATGTGGGATCTTCCCAGACCGGAGCACAAACCCGTGTCCCCTGCATCGACAGGCGGACTCTCAACCACTGCGCCACCAGGGAAGCCCCATAGTTGTCTTCTTATAGTGCATTCATCACTTCCATGATTTTGCACTTATGGAGTAATGGAGTTAACAGAGCACCTCCAAACAAATAACAGAAATGAAAATTACTAAGTAAGACTTATATTGAGATTGTCAGTGGCAGTCAGATTGATTTGTTAGCAGCTTTGTAAGTTTAGTCTGTGGAAGTTCATAAACTTCTTGGATATTTCCTTTATCTGAATTTCCATGAGCTATAAACAACTTCTGTAATCAACAGGTAACATGAAATAAAACTATAAATGTTAATTAGAACAAAAGACATTTGTTTTGCATCTTGGCCCAAATGAATATTTGCCTGCCTATTTTCCAGTAGGCCAACTTTATGGTTCTTTGGGGCTGGGTACTTTGTCTTATTCGCCTTTGTATCTCTGTAGTGCCTGTACCAGTCCTACAACATATGGAGTCTTCAGTAAATATCAATACTTGTTGCTTTTCCTTCAGAGTCATATAAGAAGGCAGTTCATTCATTCATTCATTCATTCATTCACCAAACATGAATTTAGCATCTACTCTGTGCCATTCATTGTTCTAGTTCTTAGGCTTAGAGTACGTCTCTCAACAAAACAAAGATCCCTGCCCTTGTGGAGCTTACATTCTTGTGAGAGAATACAGCCAACAAACATTAAATATAATAAACAAATCCATCACACAGTATATTAAAATACATACTATTTTTTTAACTTATTTAAAAATTTTTTATTTTATTTTATTTTTATTATTTCTGGTTGTGTTGGGTCTTCGTTGCTGTGTGCAGGCTTTCTCCACTTGTGATGAGTGGGGGGCTACTCTTCGTTGCAGTGCACGGGCTTCTCATTGCAGTGGCTTCTCTTATTGCAGAACACCGGCTCTAGGTGCATGGGCTTCAGTAGTTGCAGCATGCAGGCTCAGTAGTTGTGGCTCGTGGACTCTAGAGTGCTGGCTCAGTAATTGTGGCACATGGGCTTAGGTGCTCCACAGCATGTGGGATCTTCCCGGACCAGGGACAGAACCCATGTCCCCTGCATTGTCAAGCGGATCCTTAAACACTGTGCCACCAGGGAAGGCCCAGTACATAGTATTTTAGAAGGTGGAAGTGCAGTAGAAACAACAACAAAAAATAGAACAGGATAAGATAGATCAGGAGATCTGGGGAGAGAAGGATGATTTACAGTTTTAAATAGAGTGGTTGGCAGTAATATTT